TCAACCTAGGACGATAATCCTTTACATAGAACGCTGTGTCCTCAGGAGGAGTAATTAGCTCAGCCCCGTGGCAGAGGACATATGAAAAACTTCCCAGAAAAGGGCTGCTTTCCCTGAGACTCAAACAATCAGAATTACCTGGACACACAAAGTTCTGTCTCGTCCTGATGATCACAGGCAGAGGGAGCAGGATGTCTCAGGATGTTAAACTGGAAGTTCCAACTGAGGCACCAAGATTTCAAAGATACCAGATACCAAAGTGAGTTGTAAGGCACAAAATAATGATGTTTATAGGAAATACCCAGTGATCAATTTCATAACTTGTGAGCCTCTGAACCTAGATGTGGATCTAAGGTGCTAAGAGATAGAGATGAGAGGTTCTTATAAAGATGTTTCTTTTGGACAGAGCTGTGCAGTGAGCCCCACATTCTCCTGTGGAGGGATGTGCCTTCCTCCTCACTTTACACCTAGTGGGAGAAACTTCAACAGAGCCACTTGGAGAGTTTGATATATATCCCCTGCTTTTATGAGAGTGAAGAGCAATAGGAAAGATGAAATGGGAGAAGAGCGAGAGCAAGCAAGCAAGAGAGAATGAATTATGTTTGGGAAATATCTTCACTTATTTTCATAGTGGGGCAATAAAAGCAAAAATGTTTCCTATGGACCACAGGTGGATTATGTGAGAGAGAGAGAACCGATATGCACAATTTTCAGTTCTTCCCAAGATGACTTATTAGAAAGTCTAGGAGATTCCAAGACAGAAGAAGAGATCTGTATGGGATCTACCCCCCCCCCCAAACAAGGGGCTATGAGGGGAAACATTCACAGGAGGAAAATATGCTTTAGTTATATCACAGAGGATGTGTGGGAAGGCAGTATAATATGGAAGTCTCTGAATATCCCCCTGGCCTGAAAGTGACAACGAAAGAATGAGTTAGTTTTAACCATCATCCAGATCAAGAGAAGTCAAACCTCTTTAATATGGTAGCAACCAAAGAGGCATATTATTGTCACCCCTTTCTCACCCTTGCTCCCATGCTCCATCCCCATAAGGGTGGGTACAATAAATGCAACTAGACTTTAGAAAAATGAGAGAAAAGAGACAATATACTATTCTGACAACTTTCTGGACCTCAGATTCTTGCCTGGCAGAAAGAAGTGATAAAAGGGGTTGATTTTTATGAGTGATGGATTGAGCACTCAAAAGTAAAAAGAAACCCGTATGTTAGATGGAACAAGTAAATATTTCTTTGAATTCAAAAGTCTGTAGATTTTTTTCATCCAGTATTTTATCTCCAAGTGTTCTTGGTTCCCACAGTTTACCTCATCACTCCTACATCCTTAGAAAAACTCAGAAAGTTATGTTTTCTACAGGATTTTTAGGTATTTTGTTTTTGCTAGGGTAGGTACATTCTAGGGTCCTTACCCTGCCATTCCTGTTGACATTAGTATAGAATAATTAGTTTTAACACACAGTACAGTATACTTCAGTGCTTTTGAGAAATGCTTCAAAGTTTTGTTTTCATTTCAATGATCTAAAATTATTGTAAGCATATTCTGGATCATCATCATGATCTCCTTATAATGAAGGTCCAAATATCTACTAATTGTGAGCTTGGAACGTTCCAGTTCTAATAGATATAAATAAAAATATATTCCAGAGCAATCTTGGTCATCAAGTTTTTTTGTTTTCATGTACTTTTGAGGTATTTTATGAAGATTATTAATTTAACCTACCATGCATTTCAAAGAAGAAACATTGAAAGTGATCATAAGAAAATGGGAAAATATTTGCATGTTTGGCTATTAGTAGTTTTCAGTGGGGGTACTCTTAACACTTTGAATAGGGCAATTCTTTGTTGGGCAGAATGTCGTGTGCATTCCAAGCCATTCAGTAGCACTGGCCACTGACCACTAAATGCTGCTAGCAGCTCCAGTCATTGGACTAACCATAACGCTCCCACACCTTTCTAGAGGAGAAAGAACTCATGGACACGGACCACAGTATGGTGACTGCTGGGGAGGGGTGTGAGTGAAGTTGGAGAATATAGGGGGATAAATGGTAATGGGGAAAAAATAAAATTAAAAGTATATATATTTAAAAAAACAACACCTGGAGAAGTTCACCAACACTGTTTTAAGTTATTTTGTTAGTTTAAGTTAATTTGGAAGAAAGCAAAGATTTAGTTCTAGTACTTAAATACAAATTAAGTATGATTTTATTTATTTATTTATTTATTTATTTATTTATTTATTTAATTTATTTATTTTGGTAAGTGCTGCTGATTAGGGCATGACCAGAGTGAGGCAAATGAAGTATATGTGCAAAATTTGCCTCAAGTGCAAAATTTGAGAGCTGCCTAAAACTCAGTAATTAAGGCAAATACTAATTAAAGATTACTTTTTAAATAAGGTTAACTCAATGCACTCTTTTACCAAATTAGAATTAATACAAAAGTACATGACCTACAAAACAATAAAATGTAAATAAAGACAGAAACTGACCCTGTACCTGCACAACTCAGCCTGTCTCACCCATCTAACCCTAACCCTGCCGAATTCTTTCTTTATCGGTCTTCCATGGGTGTTTTGTGTTCTTTTCCTCTGGCATCTTCCAGGGTTTTTTCTTTGCCTTTGGTTTTCTTTTTATCTTTAGTTATGATGTGTCTAAATGCATTTCTTTTTTTAATTTATCTTTCAGTTTGCTTAACTTTATTATGTAAGTTGATGCTTTTAACAAAATTTGAGAAATGCCAGGATTTCATGTCTTTACATGAATTGTCTGCTGCACTCATTATTACCATTTTTCTTTTCTGCAATGAACATATTTACAATAACTGCTTCCATGTCTTTTTTGGTCAATTTCAGTATCTATGTTTTCTTGTGATCTGTTTCTTATGACCCTTTCTTGACATGATGCACTTTTGCTTACTTCATGTGTTTAGTAATTATTCAGTGTTTGCTGGAAATTTTGGGAGAGGGTATATTTTATTTATTTGTTAATCCTCACCCAAGGATATGTTTTTCCATTGATTCTGAGAAAAAAAGAGAGAGAGAACGAGAAGAACAGAGATTGACTGGTTGCCTCCCACATGCTCCCCGACTGGTGGTGGGGATCAAACCTGCAACCCAGGTACATGCCTCTGACTGGGAATGGAACCCACAGCCCTTTGTTGTTCAGGCCAACACTCTACCACTGTGCCGCACTGGCCAGGGCAAGAGAAAGTATATTTTCGTTTTAAAGGTGTTGAATTTTGTTCTGGTAGGTAGTTAAATTACTGGAAGATCCTTTTTAATCTTCCAGATTTTGTTTTATTCTTTGTTCAGGTAGATATATTTCAGCTTGTCCTTAGTTTCTCAGGCTTGGCCCTTACACTAGGGCATGACCAATAAATACTCCTAGGGAATGGATTTCCTGGGGTTTCACCTGAGTGTGCAGAGTGTTCAGTGAGCTCTCTCTACTTTTCACTCTAACAACTTTCACTCCATCTCCATTGAGCTCCTGTTTCTGCAGCAGCCACTCTCATAGGTCTTGCCCTGTGTATGCTCATCTCAGCCCTTTGCCCAGGATTCACATTAAACCCCATGTGCACCCCTGAGTTGTACAGCGTTTATTTCTCAGGAACCTTGCCATACATTCCAGTGGTTTTAGTAGCCCCAAGTTCTAATCTCTACCTTCTTACTTCATAGATCAGCACTCTGATCTAAAGCTATCATCTGTAAAGTACCCCTGGGTAATAATACAGGCAAATTTAGAGCATATTTTATACATGTTTCTTCTTTTAAGAATCACTGTTCTGCTTTGTTGTTGAATGCTTACGAACCGTTCCCTTACATATTTTACTTATTTTTTGGCTATAAAAAAGCAAACTTGGTCCCACTTACTCTGTCATAAATGAAAGTAGAAACTAGATAATTGATTTTATTCATTTAAAAAATTATATTCATTTAAGTCTATAAACTTCTATTTAAGCACCATATTAGCTAAGCCCCACGAGTCCAATATGTCATATCACTTATTATAAAAACAGGTTATAATTTTAATTGTCATTTCTTTTTGGCAAATTCATTATATAGAGGTTTATTATTTATTTGGAGATTAACCCCTTATTGGATATGTCATATGCAAACATCTTCTCTCATTCAGTAGGTTTTCTTCTCATTTGGTTGGTGATTTCTTTCACTACTTAGCCATTCCTAGTCCCATGCCCTGAAGGGCTGAACTCCCTTATCAGATTAGACTGATCACCCATAATCACATCATTACTTTGAAAGCCTCTTTAAATTCTCTATGCTTACTACAATGCTTCACTCTCAGTTGGTCATCCTAGGACACAGAGGGCTCCAATCAAGTTTGAGTTTACCACCTGGGGACTCTACCAGCCCTTTCTGGACCATTTTCCTGAACTTTTATAGGAAAATGTCTTATTTCAGCCTGTGACCAGGATCACTCATTTTAAGAAGAGAAAAGTGATGCATCCTGTTACCATCACTCTGGAAACATAACTGAGAGTCAAAATTTGGACAATTGGTAAGAAACTAGACACACAAATAAGACTCAATTTCTAATTAATGTCATTTGTAAAAATAAATTTCAAATGTATAAAAAATTAAACACAAAAATAAAATCATGAAACTACCAGAAGGAATATTTTTGTTATCTGTATAAAGTTTGTAAACTATAAAAAAAAAAAGTAAAGCTGTGACTGCATACACATTTAAGATGTTTGTAGGACAAGGGATATCATATGAAAACTTTAAAAAGACATTTAGGAAAGGACAGTTGTGTAGGTATGTTTTTAATATACCTTTCGCATGCCTCTAAAATGAACAAGAAAACTTAAACAGAGAAGAAAACTACGTCCAAGGCGAAACAGAGACAGAAGAACTGGTTCCACATCAAGATTCACTACGAAGCAGCTATTCAAGAAGAAGGGATGCTTACATTGCATGTGCAGGATGGAGCACGTCTTACATCCAACGAATGGGCAGAACAGTGCTCATCGTGAGGAACATGGTCCTCTACTGAGCATATTTCCCAGAGCTCCTTTCATGTCCCGATTCCTCAGACTATAGATAAAGGGATTTAACATGGGAGTGACCAGGGTGTACAATACAGCCACAATGACATCCTTGTTGTTGGATGAAGGAAAAAAGTACAACCCAATAATTGCTCCATAGTACAGAGACACCACAGAGAGGTGGGAACCACAAGTAGACAAGGCTTTGCACATGCCCTTGGTGGAGGGGACTTTCAGGATGGTGGCCCCAATGTGGCCATAAGAAACTAGGATGCATATGAATGGCACGGTAATGACCACCACTCCCACAGTGAGGATAAGCAGCTCATTGACTGTGGTATCTGAGCTGGACAGCTTAAGTAAGGTGGAGAGATCACAGAAGAAGTGTGGGACAGTGTTGTCTCCACAGAAAGAGAGACGGGCCAGGAGGAGGGTGTGCAAAAGGGCACTAGCGCAGGATTGGACCCAGGACACAATTACTAGCAAAACACACAGGCTCTGACTCATGATGGTGGTATAGTGGAGGGGATGACAGATGGCCATGTACCTGTCATAGGCCATTGAGGTGAGAAGGAGGCTGTCAAGATCCCCCCAAAATAAGAAGAAATACACCTGGGAAATGCATCCAGCATATGAGATGGATTGATCCTGAGTATGCATATTCATGAGCATCTTTGGAGCTGTGACTGATGAAAAAGAGATGTCAGTAAAGGCCAAGTGGCTGAGGAAGAAGTACATGGGTGTGTGCAGCCGAGGNTGACAGATGAGAAGGAGATGTCAGTGAAGGCCAGGTGGCTGAGGAAGAAGTACATGGGCGTGTGCAGGCGAGAGTCCAGCCTGATGAGCAGGATGATGAGCAGGTTGCCCAGCACCGTGGTCAGGTACATGCCCAGGAACAGGGTGAAGAACACGCCCTGCTGCCCTGGCTGGATGGGGAGCCCCAGGAGGAGGAACTCGGACACACTGCTCTGATTATTTCTCCTCATGGTCTTCTTTTGGTTTGCTGTAGATGAAAAAGAGATGGAAATGTGAAAGAATGTGAAATCATTATGATATGACATAATAGAAACATGACAGTCAGTACATGAATGTTAACCTGAATAGCTCATGCTCTTTGCCCACTAATGGGCTAGTGATGGTCTGACATCAGGATATTATATGTCCACCTGGAAACCAACCCAATCTTTTTTGGAGAAACCATGAAACATCAGAATGATGATCGTATCAGATCAGGTTCAAATTTGAGGAGTCTAGGAGTTCATGACAGAAATCTGAGATTAGGTTGCAAGGCTAGGTCAGGAGCCATTTATTAGAAACACTAGTAGAGGCTCTCCAAGTGGTCTGTTGTCCTTTCTTAACCTTCCCCTTGTCTTTTGCACATGCTTTGGCTTGTTTCTAGTGTTTTTATATTTCTAGCAATATTTAATTAATAGCATTCATATATCATGCTTTATTTCCATGGATTGGGTCAAGATAAGACAACTCAGTGGGCTTCTCTGGATCTTACAGAAATCAGGATTTGGTGACTTGGTGGAACCATCATCTGTAACTCAAGGGCATTAAGGACAAGAATCTATGTCAATAACATAGCAAATCCAGTGACATAATTTATTACATAGCCATCAGTCCTTCCTTTAAGAAAGTTCCTCCCCACTCCTCAGCATTTGCAGTCTAGCATCACTCTTTCTAAAGGAGTTGTCATGGAATGTAGAGAAGTCTGTTCCTCTTCCAGGTTCCCCCTTATTCTCCCAGTTCTCACCAGATCACTCTTACTCAAGCTCTCAGAACATCAGGAAATACTTGGATCCGCCAAAGAATAAACTTTGTGAGTGTCCAGCATAGTTTACCAAATAACATCTCTTTTTTTTTTTATAGTTCCTAACCTAGGTTTTATGCCAGTGATTCATAACTGGTATTTTTTCTTGTCATATTCTAACAGTTCTTATACTTTACCAATACTATCATTTCTTTCTTGTCTTCAGGTCAATTAATCTTAGACTTGCCCATGTGAACACTCACAAAATACTAGGGAAAGAAAACAGGATGGTCTATTAAAAAATAGAATCCACAATACTATGTAAACAGTTATTCAGTCTAAAAGATCCTTCTCTTTGAGAGCCGAGAAAGTGTCTCACTATAGGATTCATCATTCATCTTGGGGGTTAACTCGTTTACATTATCTTCCAATTCTCCCAATTTAACTGAAATTATCTCTAAAATGCCTACATTCTTTAGTCCATTACATTAAAAATCCTATTAATTTAATGTTGTTACCTGAGATGAGTTGCTCATTTAGTTTTACTAGTCATTCCCATATTAATAATCAGTTTACCTACCTCAGTGAAGGGGCTAACTAGCTGTCTGATGGATATTTTGGTTGTTTCTAATATTTTTCTGTTTCTAACAATATTTCACTATAACACTGTATGCCATTTTTCACATTAGTATATATATCTGTAGGATAAAACAGAAATGGAATTGGAGGATATGTACATTCACAATTTTGATAGATATTGTCAAATTGCAAGAGACCAAGGTGGTGAGGAAGCCTGGTCTTATGTGTTCTTTAAGATGAGTCCTGAATAATAACAGCCTGTCATGTGAAGATTATAAAAATGGTCATTCTCGTTAAGTATTTGGTGAAGACACGGCTATGGTGTTTGAGGAATAGAGAAAATTCAGGAGTGTGATCAGCATGGGAAAGTTATGAGGTTGGAGATTTATCCAGGAACCAGATTATGTAAGGTCTTTTCGGCTATAGTGGAAAGTTTATACTCCATTATCAGAGCAACAGAACACCCATGAAAATGTTTAAGGAAAGGAATGAATGAAAAAATTAAAATAGTATGCTGGCTACTGGGCAGAGAGCAGATTATAGCAAGACAAGAGTGTTAGCAGGAATATTAGGATGGTATTGCAGTAGTTCAGGTACAAAAGGATACCTGCTTTACCTGGATCATGGCCAAAGATGAAGATCATTACAGAATTGGGATAAAATTGAGAGGAAAAGCCAATAAGACAAAAGTGGGAATGAATGATAAGCAACAGGAAGTATATATTTTTTCCTATTCTCTGAAAAATTACACAGAGGATCAGTTTAAGATAAATTAATCTACATGGAGTTCTCTGTTATACTTTGGTGTGAGGCGTGGAGGAGCCAGGCTAGAGATCAGTAACTTACCTTGGACACACACAAACACACAAACACATGCAGTTACACTACTGAATGTGAATTCCACTCCTGATCTGACGTTGCCTCTTAGGTGATGAACACTTACACCTTCAGCTGCAGCATGGGAAGGTTCTTGCATTTCTCTCTAGAAGACAATGAAGCAGTGAGTCTCTAAGGGTCTCAAAGATACACCACAACAGGGAGAAGAATTATCAGTTCAAAACAAAGTAAGATAGATATATAGGCACACACTTGTTTAACACTCTGAGCAATGGATGTGGGTTCTGACTTAACAAATTATGGAGAAAACCCAGGTGGTGGTGGGTGGCCAACTCCACACCCCCACCTCCAAATTAGAGACAAACTGGAAATAATTGCTTCTTTGCCTTTGGTTCCCTTGAGGGGAAAACTGTTGACAGCAGGCCGTAGGAGAGTTCATCCTTGGAGGAGCAATGATGATAACCACAAAGCAGCTACTAGGAACTTGGTGATTCCAAAAGCTTTTTGCCTTCTCAGTTGACATTAGGGAAAATGCAATTCCAAGTTCATAACAAACAAAACTGGAAGCTGAGTGTGTTAATGAACCCAATGTTCTTTCAAGAATCCCAGAAACACTCTGATCCTTTCATTCTCTGAACAAAAGATTGAGGGACATTATATCCCACCATCAAACGGGACCCTTGGGGAGTAGACCACAGTTTCTATAAATTCTGGTCTCCTGCTCAGAAGCTATGGAGTCAGCATTCTCTGGTGCAGTTTTCTCACAATACCGTGGAATTGCCATCCACGAGATGTTCTCCACTAAACCTCTTACAAAATTGATTCCAAGTTTATTTCATACATCTCTAGCTCCCATTTCTTCAAAGCCAGGTAGAATATCAATATCAAGTGCTTGTTATTTAGAAAGAAGATGTGTGCATATTCATGTGTTATTAATTTGTTCTGTTTTGTGTTAAAAATCAATCAATTAGCCCAGCCAGTGTGGTTCAGCAGTTGAGCATCAGCCTATGATCCAGGAGATCAAGGTTTGATTTCCTGTCAGGGCACATGCCTGGGTTGCGGGCTTGATCCCCAGTAGGGGGCATGCAGGAGGCAGCCGATCAATGACTCTCATCATTGATGTTTCTATCTCTTTCTCTCCCTCCTCTCTGAAATCAATAAAGATGTATTTTTTAAAAATTTAAAAAATCAATTGATTATAATGCTACAGCTGACCTGCTTGTTTTCCTAAAAGTCCAGAGTTGACATGACTGCCTTCTCAAACTAGGAGAACATCACTGGCACTTCCCTCCTTCCCTCCACTCATGGACATAAAGATGAAATCCATGACCCTGCAAGATAGCTTACTTGATTAAACAGTGCGAGAAAAGGTGTCTTTTTGAATTAACAAATGACATTACTACTTCCCCAGGAATAAGATACTGTTTCCTAGGAGAACTTCATCTTTATCTTCTGTTATTCCAGCCCCATCTTTCTGAATCCTATTCAAAACATGCCTCCTGCAATAGCTTATAGCTTAATAACAAAATATACTTACATATGCATATACAACAAAATTGGAAAGTAGGCAGAATGAGATTAATAGGTATTTGAGAGAAAAACTCAAGTGGGCTAATAATCATACAAAAAGATGGTCAACCTCTGTAATAATCAGGGAAAGAAAAAACTTCAATAAGGCTCCATTTTATATTAATAGAGTGGAAAAATTAAGTTAGAGGATGCTCTGTGTTGACAACTGTGTGTACATTTTAATAAGATTTATTTCTAATAGGGAAACAATATGGCATATTTTATAGTTGAAAAATGTTCATTGCCTTGGACTGTGCAATTCCACTCTCAGGTTTATATATCCTAAAAAGTTTTGCCCTTGTACAGTTGGAGACATAAATATGAAGGCTCATGGCAACGTTGTTCATAGTAGCATAAAAATGTTTAAAAAGTTCATTAACAAATAAATTATGAGATTTTACATAAGGAATATTATACAACAATTAAATGCCATATCAGCGAATTACAGAAATGAAATATTGAGAGGAAAAAAGTAAGACTCCAATAATATGACAAAGTGCAGAAACAAAGATTTTCTATGTATATTTACTGTTATGGACTTATGTTGTATTCCTCCAAAATACATAATATTGAAGCCCTCACCCTCAGTGTGGCTGTATATGGAGATGAGGCTTCTAAGAACATAATTAAGATTAAATGAGATCATAAGGATGAGGCCCTGCACCGATAGGATCACTGTCCTTATAAGAAGAGACACCAAAGATCTCAGACTCTTTACACACACACACAGACACCGAGAAAAGGCCATTCAGTCTATAGCAGAGAACTTAATATGAGATCTACCGTCTTAGCAAAAAGTATCCAATATAGTGTTATTAAGTAGAGACACTATTTCAGCACAATTTTTAATTGAAATGGTACAACTGAAACCCTTACCTTGTCCCTGATCTTAGGAGGAAAGTATTCAGTCTTCCACTGTTAACTATGGTATTAGCTTTAGGTTTTCCATAGATATCCTTTACCAATTTAAGGAAGTTTTCACTATTTCTAGTTTCTGAGATTTTAAAATCAAGAATGGATTTTTAGTTTTATCAAATACTTTTAAATCTATGTATTAAGATCCCTTGTTACCACTCATCTTTATCTTCTGTTGGTCCCCCCAATACACGGCTCACTCTCTGATTGTCAGTCTAGCCTCCTTTTTGTTTCTCTAACATGCCAACCACGCTTCCATCTCCAACCCTTTGCAGTTTCTGGTCCCCCCTGTCTGGAATATTCTTCCTGTCAGATAAAAACAATAACCTATTCCCCGTTTTCGTTAAGCTTTTTCCTTAAACCCCTTGTTCCTTTGGAAGCCTACCTGAGCCCCTAGACTGCTTAAAATTATAGGGTCACCTGCAATAGGGTCACTCCTTTCCCCCCTCACCCCACTTGTGCTATTGTTCATAATATGACACTCATTATTTTATAATATACCGTGTACTTTTCATTTTTATTTTTATTGACAGTGTCTCCCCTCTTTAAGTGTAAAAGTCTCAAAGGAAGACATTTTGACTCATTTATATAGAAAAGTGCCAAGTACATAGTAGTTGTGAAATACAAATGTATTTAATGAGTGTTATTTCATACATACATTTATCTTTGCTTCGACTAGAAATGGGTTGTGTCAGTTTGAGCAGATGGGTTGTGTCACTTTCCTAAACTGGAAGGAAGAGGAATAGAGATCATCCCACCAAGAAACATCTCGTAGAGGGAAAAAGACCTAGAATCAGCAAATGTGTAAATAAGGTGATTGCCCTATGTGTCTCTTTTAGGTTATTTCCACCATGAGCACAATAAAACTAACTAGTAAGGTCAACAGCTTTGCATTTATTTTTTTTTTTAAGTTTTAGGAAGCTATAAGGAAACACTTTATTAACCAGCTACCTAATTAGCAAGACAAGCATTCTGAACTTCCTTGCTTTGAAAACTAGGAACTATACTGTTTTTATAGTGCTAGAGAAAAAATAGAGAACAATAGATAATTATTCATTTTTATGCAACTATTTTATGACATCTTAATTTTTTAAAACAACTCAGTTTTATAGACCTGAAGACTAATGTACATTTCACTTTTTATTTTAAAAGTACTATCATACTACATATTTGATAGTTCTAGTCTTCAACATGAGAATCAAGAATTTAAAGAAAGAGAAGGTACCTTCTGCAATTATATTTCACACTTCTAATCCCAGGGAGTATAGGGGACCAAAACCAGGGGAGACTATTAAAAGTGGGTATGGAGTGAGAAACAGGCTGGTCACCTAACCACATATTTTTCAAGGAGATATCTTTGACGGGATCAGTGGATGAGACAAGAACAAGAGTAGGGGATTGTCACTTGGAGAAAAGGATCTCCCTTGTGAGAAGTTTCTCCAGGGCCCCCTTCATGTCTCTGTTCCTCAGGCTATAGATGAAGGGGTTCAGCATGGGGGTGACCACTGTGTACATCACTGAGGCAATTGTGTCTTTGTTATTAGAATTGCTTGATGATGGCAAAAAGTACAGAACCATAATTGTCCCATAGAATAGAAATACCACAGAGAGATGGGAACCACAGGTGAACAAAGCTTTACGTATCCCCTTGATTGAGGGAAACCTTAAGACCGTTGCCCCAATGTGGATGTAAGAGACAAGAACCCCAGTAAATGACAGGATAATGATCAATCCCCCAACAGCAAAGATTAAAATTTCATTGAGGGAGGTGTCTGAGCAGGAGAGCTTAAGCAGGGCAGCGAGGTCACAAAAGAAGTGAGGGATAATGTTGTCAGCACAGAAGGACACTTGAGCCAGAAGGATGGTGTGGGACAGGGCGCTGCCACAGGAGAGGAGCCAGGATCCAGCCAACAGAAATATGCACAGCTCCTGCCTCAAGATGGTGGTGTAGTGCAGAGGGTGACAGATGGCCACGTACCTGTCATATGCCATCACTGCCAGAAGGAAATTGTCAAGACAACCAAAAAGTATGAAAAAATACAACTGAGTAATGCATCCCACATAGGAGATGGATTGTTGCTGAGTCTGCATGTTCCTGAGCATCTTTGGGACAGTGACAGATGAGAAGGAGACATCAGTGAAGGCCAGGTGGCTGAGGAAGAAGTACATGGGCGTGTGCAGGCGAGAGTCCAGCCTGATGAGCAGGATGATGAGCAGGTTGCCCAGCACCGTGGTCAGGTACATGCCCAGGAACAGGGTGAAGAACATGCCCTGCTGCCCTGGCTGGATGGGGAGCCCCAGGAGGAGGAACTCGGACACACTGCTCTGATTATCCCCCCTCATGGTCTTATGTTTTGCTGTAGATGAAAAAGAGATGGAAATATGAAAAATGTGAAATCATCATGACCCTGACATAATAGAAGCGTGATAATTAGTTAGTACATGAACATGAATGGTTCATGCTTTTTGCCCACTAATGGACTAGTGATGGTCTGACATCAGAATATTATATGTCCACCTAGAAACCAATACAATCTCTTGGAACTCGGCCACGTTGTTCTGGTTCGCAGGCCTCATGCTGCTCTTCTGTCTGCTTAGATGGAAGGAGTATTGGAAATGTTTCAGATGATAAATGGTGATAATGGCCAACACAGTAGGGTTATCTATTTTCTACTAAGGAATTCCTCATGGTATTTCTCATATGCTGTTGCCTGAGTCCCCACTTTCCCATAGAGGGGAGATTGAGAGGGAGCCATCAGACCTCCAGTGGTCCACAAAATTCCCTTCATTGTAAACCAGATAAAATTGACTTATTAATCTAACAACATCTTAGACACTGAACTCTTTTCTGGAGAAAACAAGTTCCTTCCTTCCAGGAGATCACATTTCAAGGTCTAGCCTCTTCATGAACTGGTTCTGAATATCTGGGTGTCTGCAACTAGACTTCTAGTGGGTTCTGACTCCACCACTTTCTAGCTGATTTCAACAGCTTACCTTCTCCTAGCCTCATTTTGAACCTTTACAAAATAAGCATAATAATGCCTACACATAGGGTTTGTAGAAGAATTAAGTGATTCCATGAGAGTTATGATATTAGAACAGAGTTCTTTATGTAGTAAGGGCACAGATATGTCATGGGGCATCTTCATGCCAGTGTGAGTGTCCAGATAAATCTTGGTGTTTGTTTTTTTTAAAATATTGGGTTGATCTTTAGAAATCTTCATATACCAGAAATGTGAGGTGGGTATTAGAAAGGAGCAGGTGGCTCATCTACAAGTTGTGCTAATCTATGAATTTTGTTTAATTTGGATTCAAAAACTTTTGCTTTACCTATTTTTGTTGTTCTCTGCATCTATTTTCAGTGAATTTCCTATCTGAGATTTCAAATGCAGTAAGGCACCCAGGAATCCGAGAAGTGGTAGATGCTATAAGATTGGTCATGCCTATTAGAATTAATATTTACTTGATTAATGTGACTCTATCCCAATGTCAGTCTTAAGGTAATTGATATTTGTTGAAAATGTATTCAACTATATGCCAGGCAAAATGAAGGGATTTTTGTATATATTTATTTATGTGGTGTGTGTGCATGTGTGCACAGGCATGCATGCTGAAGCTAAGAAATCAACAATGGTCACATGGCAGTAACCACTAGAGTCTTCATTTTTTTTCTTGTGTCTATTTTATTGTCTAAACTTCTATTGAACATACTCTACCTCCCTGTATTTAATTAAGCAAATCTCTCAGGCCTTTGAGGCATGTTATTTCAGTGTTGAGGATTTCTGTACTCAATATTACCTCAACCACCAGCTCAGATATCTGCCCATCACTCCTTCCTACAGCCATTTATATTCCTGCAGCCTGCAGTTTACACATAGCTTTCACATACTTTCAGCTATGTGCAGTTAATGTATATTTTGTGTCTGAGAAGGAGAGAAGACAATGACTTTCCTTCTTCATTCTCCTAACTTGAGAAGTGAAGTCACTTGTACAGTGTGTTTGGTGGTGGAACTTGATCTCAAAGAGAAATCATCCATTGCTCTTCTCACTAGAAACAGACACTTCCATTTCTTTGCAGGGGAATATGGCTGGTAGAGTTAAAATACCCCTATGATGCCTGGAAGAGGAAACTGGCATAACACACAGGACTCCACATCGAACAGTAGGTTCTTGTTCCAGACCAGGGTGATTCTCAGGGACACTGGGACACTAGGAGGAAGTTGACAACCTCACCCCTACTGAGGCCTCCCTGCTCATTGACAGTTGCTGGGTGATTTGTCAACCAAGAGCTCTGGCTTCTCTGGAGGTGAAGTGGGGGTGATAGGGGACCAGAAAACCTAATGCAAGCATGGCACTGTGGTGTCAGGGAGTGAATTAGCAGGAAGGGAACCCCATCTTGTGTGTAAATGGCAGTGCGACCTGTGCTCACTGATGAAGCTGTGACCTAGGGTTGGAGAGAGAATTTTGGCACGGGCCTGCTCTCCCACCTGACACAGTGTATTCTCCCATGTGAGCTACATGAATGGAGAGTCAAGAAAGTCAGCCTCAAAAAAAAAAAAGTCAGCCTCCATCTGGGGAAGAATCGCACAGCTGGCCACGGTGACTGGTTGCCTGCTGTGTGCCTGAAATAGATTAAACTGTTGCCAGCAATGATGTACAGGAGCTGTTATTACCTTCTTATGTTTAAGGCTTCTGGCCTCAGAGAGATCAGTGTAAGGCCAGAGAGCTACTGGAGGGCAACCAGCAGATTTAGAGGACACCCAAAATGGGACACTTAACGAGGCTGCCATATCCCCTAAGTGTAAATATGAATAATGCTAAAGGCCACAATGGGAAATGTCACCCCAGGGCCCTGGGCATTACTGGAACATTCAACTCACATAGTCCAATGGCCCCAGTAGGGCTTAAGGAGGGTCCCATTTGTAAGTGCCTAACTGGGTTCTGGCCTCGAGTCCAGAGTACATCAGAAAGCGAGACTGTTCCATACACAGGCAGATCAGACACAGACAGACAGACAGAGACACACACAGACACACACACAGTGCTTTGTTTAGAGTTTCAAGCTCTCTGTACTTTCTCCCTATCCCTTCTGGTCAAACCCCCATTTAGTTAAGATGCATGAGTGTTAAAAACAGTACACACACCTCTATACCCACAGTCAATGTCTCTCTCTCTCTCACACACACACACCCTAACACACATATTGTTGAAGGATTATTTGCTGTTTTTTTCTGACATATGCATGGCCTAGATAAAGATTGCCAGGATACAGATTTATTTATTCATAAATAAAGTCATATACTCAAAATACAATGCAGAATCATACAAAGAACTGAAAGACGGCATATAATAGAAGCACATTACATGTAGGCACTCAGAGGCAGTCACAGATATTCAGATGACAACACACAGAACCACACAAATAGTTCACAGACGATATAACCACTAGAGCACATGCACTGCTCCAAGGAGATTTCTAGCCTGGTCTGATCATTGCGCATCCCAGGTGGAGACTGTCCATGTGTGAGTGACACTCACAGATAGGAATACACAGAACACACATACCTAGTCTCACGTTCCCACACATGTGTTTACGGGGGCAGAATCCTGTCCCATTCTAACCTATGCTACTCCTTAATAAAGTCAGATACCTTCTGCTCTGGGCTGTTTCCTTAGTCTTCGCTTTCTGATGCAGCCTCCATGGCTGAGGACCTTCACACACTTGCATATCTGTTTACCAGCAGCAGAACAATGGGCAAGAGTGGTGTATTTTACAGCAGAAAGAACAGGGGGGAAGACACCTAGGATCTTTAATAGAGAAACAGTCAACGTGGGCTAATTGAACAAATGACTGCTGGCCTCTTGGGGAGGAGGCTGTCGGGCCAGAGGGACTGATCCACTGGAGTCCCTGAAGGCAGTGTCTCTGATGTCTTCTGAAAGGGGCAGTCTGGGCTCCTTTCTGTCTGATCTGGTGGTTCCATGTGGGTAGCAGGAGGGGCCAAGGTCAGTCTGGGCTTCTTAAGTATCCATGGTGGCAGAGTAAGCCTGTCACTTTATCATAAGCAAGACTCTTGTAGCTCCTACACAAGCCTCCTCTAAAGCTCACAGGTCTTGTCACTACCTGGAAAGGCTCGTGCGGGTCAGGGGCTGTGCCTCACTCAAAAAGTAGAATGAAAGGATGGGCCCTGTATGGTCTTGAATTGAATTTAGACTCTCCCACTTTACTGTGAGCTCCTGAACAAGTTAATTTAGTTCTACAGTGTTCAGAGCCTTTAAGTGTAAAATGGGGATAAGAACAGTACCATCCTCATGAGGTTGTTATAAGAATTAAGTGAGACAATACATATTAGAGTTCTTATTACAGTATCTGATACATGCCAATGTCCAATAAATGCTAGGGCATATCACCAATCATATTTAATGGCAGGGCACTTAATGTGCATTGGGAAATGATTCAGTGAATTCATTTATTTATTTGTTCTTTTTGATAAATACTTATTAAAGAATTCATAAAGGTGACAGTCTAGTCTATGGAGCACAGCAATGAATAAAATAGAAATACATCATCTGGTAGACCTTACATTTGGCAGGGGGAAGCAAACAAAAAACAGATCGATACTCAACAAAACAAAGCCACAAAAATCACAACAGTAAAATCCATGACGTAGCAGTTGGTGAAAAGAGTCATGGAGTAAAACAAAGCAGGGAAGGGGTTCGAAAAAGGATAAGCAATTCGGATGTAAATAGGGTGGTCATTGTACCATCCTCATGAGGTTGTTATAAGAATTAAGTGAGACAATACATATTAGAGTTCTTATTACAGTATCTGATACATGCCAATGTCCAATAAATGCTAGGGCATATCACCAATCATATTTAATGGCAGGGCACTTAATGTGCATTGGGAAATGATTCAGTGAATTCATTTATTTATTTGTTCTTTTTGATAAATACTTATTAAAGAATTCATAAAGGTGACAGTCTAGTCTATGGAGCACAGCAATGAATAAAATAGAAATACATCATCTGGTAGACCTTACATTTGGCAGGGGGAAGCAAACAAAAAACAGATCGATACTCAACAAAACAAAGCCACAAAAATCACAACAGTAAAATCCATGACGTAGCAGTTGGTGAAAAGAGTCATGGAGTAAAACAAAGCAGGGAAGGGGTTCGAAAAAGGATAAGCAATTCGGATGTAAGTAGGGTGGTCATTGTACCATCCTCATGAGGTTGTTATAAGAATTAAGTGAGACAATACATATTAGAGTTCTTATTACAGTATCTGATACATGCCAATGTCCAATAAATGCTAGGGCATATCACAATAGGGTGGTCATTGT